CTGCAAAGGCCAGGAAAACCTTCTGGCAGAGAAGATCTTGGTACCTGCATCTTCAGGCATGCTTCTATGAAGACACAGGTAGAACCTTCAGAGTAGACCCTGGTTCTACTTACCCAAGCAGCAGACAAAAGGCAAAGACCACAAGCCTCCTTCTAAAATGTGGTTTTCAAGCCCCATCCACGTGTGCTTGCCACCCTTCCAGGAAGTGAAATAGAATCTGTGGACATGGGCTCAGAAGTGAACGAGAGGACGAAACAGTCACAAGCACTGATCTTTAGCCTTCAATATTGGTCTAGCCCACTAGTGAAACTGGTGCAATGAATGCCCCCAACTATCATCTCAGTCACTCCTATGAGAAGGAAAAAAAGAAGGGATAAATTAAGAGAGGGCAGAAGTACAGCAGAGGCTTCCCCTTCTTTGGGCTAAAACAAATACATGAGGAAAAGGTGAAAGAGGGTCCTTCTTTTTTTTTTTTTTTTTCTTGTAGAGATGGGGGTCTTACTACATTGCCCAGGCTGAACTCCTGGCCTCAAGTATCCTTCCACCTCGTCCTCCCAAAGTGTTGGAATAACAGGCATGAACCACCATGTCTGGCCTTCTCTCTTCAACCAACAGTCTCCTTTTCTCTTCTTTCTTTATTCTTATCTCAAAAATAATTAGAAGCAGGGCCAGACACAATGGTTTATACTACCTCTAATCCCAGTGTTTTGGGAGGCTGAGGCAGGAGGATTGCCTCATGCTAGGAGTTTGAAATCAACTGAGCAAAATAGTGAGACCATCTCTCGTTACAAAAAATAAAAAATTAGCTAGGTGTAGTGGTGCATACCTGTAATCCTAGCTACTCAGGAGGCCAAGGTGGGAGGATCACTTCAGCCCAGGAGTTTGAGGTTACAGTGAGCTATGATCAGGCCACTGCACGCCAGCTTGTGTGACAGAGTGAGACCCTGTCTCAATAATAATAATGATAATAATAATAATTAGAATCACAAGAAATAGAAGTGGCTCAGTGTTTAACTAGATCATAATTAAACATACTTGCTATTATTAATGTACAAAAATACTAATGAACCATATTTGTTAAACATAAGTACGACAACCTCTAAAATGCATACATTAGGGAGAACTGACCTCAGGGTATTTTGGGGCCCAGTGTTCTGGGCCCCATAATCACATCGCATCATCTCATTGGCTATTTGAGAGGATTGAATGAGTTAGAAATCTATAAAGTATGGAGCGCAGTGCCTGGCGTGCGGAAGCCTGGTGTTTGTGTTGCTATTAATTTACATTTGTGGGCCGGGCATGGTGGCTCATGCCTGTAATCCCAGAACTTTGGGAGGCCTAGGTGGGCAGATCACCTGAGGTCAGGAGTTCGAGACTAGCCTGGCCAACACAGTGAAACCCCATATCTACTAAAAATACAAAAATTAACTGGACTCAGCGGTGCGCACCTGTAGTCCCAGCTTCTTGGGAGGCTGAGGCTGGAGAATGGCTTGAACCTGGATGGTGGAGGTTGCAGTGAGCCAAGATGGCGCCACTGCACTCCAGCCTGGGCAACAGAGCAAGACTGTATCTCAAAAAAAAAAAAAAAATTACATTTGTGTAGCATTTTGCAGTAACTATCTTATTTGAATTTACAACATCCTGTGAAGAAAGTAAGACAAGTCATATTACCCTCTTTACAAATAAAGTTTTTCAGTACACTGTCTACAATTCAAATTTTCTTATTTCTAGTTCAAAACCTTTCTACTGCCCCATGCATGGGGAGCTGCCTGGTTTTTAATTCGTTAGGAATAAAATTTACAAATAGTGGACTGTCTACAATTTAAATTTTCTTATTTCTGGTTCAAATCCCTTTCTCCTACCCCATGCATGGGTAGCTGCCTGGCTTCTCTTGTTCAGTAATTTAAAGGTTGAGTGTCTCACCTTCTCACTGGGAACTCTCAGATGACAACAAAGTAAAAATTTGGAATTCTCTTACTCTAATAGAAAAATAACCTCTTAGCTTGAATTATACATAGTATAGGGCTTTGCAGTTTTCTAGACAAATCAGTGTGTATTATACAATTCGTAAATATACGCTTTTTGTTTTGTATGAATTTTTTTTCACATACTGATTGTTTTATTTCTCATGAGTCAAAACCTTACGGGAGAAGGAATAAACAGGTAAACTGGATGTCACTCCCAATCCCTTTGTGGCAGGAGGTTGATTTATCCCATTCAGCTGCATAGGTGGGTATTACCATCCTCCTTTTCTTCTTAAGCACATCTTTTATCTTTATATAAATAAAATGTATATAATATGTGTTAAAAATATACATATATAAAAGGCATATGTATGTATTGTGTGCTTTTATATATATATATACACACACACACACACACATACATGTTAATAAATAGTTGGTAACCTGCTCTGTACATTGCTCTATAACCTGCTATATTTGCTTAACAACATATCATGAACATTTTCTTACGTCCTGTGAATTTGGAAGAGGACATAAGAAAATGCCCTGTGAACTTGACATATCAAAGCTTAAACAAGTAAGGGAGTTATGTGTTGCACAAATAAGAAATCCAGAGGTAAGCAGTCAAGGCTGGTATGATCCCTTCACAGTGCCTCCCAGGACTCAGGCTCCCTCCATGTTCCTACTCTGCTATCATAGCACATGGTCTTAGACCTTGTGCTTGTTACCTCATTGTCACAAGATGGCTGCTCTACCCCTCAAAACGCATCTGTATTCCAGCTAAAAAAAAAGAAGGGAAAACGCAAAGAGCAAAACAGCATATGTCAGCTGAGAAAGCTTTCGAGGAAAGAACTTTCCTAGCATCCCATCCAACAACTTCCACTTACATCTCACTGGCCAGAATGGTGTCATCTGCCTGCCAAAGTCACCGGAGAAGCTGGGTATCACCAGTTGTGTTTTCCAGGAAGCAGATGCTTGAGATGGAATTGGGTGTGCAAAAGGTTTAATGGGGAGTAACATCTGTGAAAGAAGGAAGCAGGATTGGGCAGGGGAGCCATCGTTCCCTGATACAGACCTGACAAAGACTCTATCAGCCCACCGTGCAGCTCCAAAGCAAAGGCTGCCTGCTGGGGGAGTCCTATGTCAGGTACAAATGGGCAGGCCTTCATACTACCATCTTGCTTAGTTGTTGGCTGGGGGCTGCCCCGAGAAACGCATGACCTCAGCTTGAAAGCTGCCAGGAGTTAATAACTGGAGGCCGTCAGCTAACCATGCTCCTCACAGTGGGTACCAAGTCCTTTCTCCAAGCAAGGAGATCTCTATAAATGCCACCCTGGGAAATAGAGTTTGTAAGTTAGGCACATTGCCGCCCCACAGAAACTTGGAGTTGTTAGTAAGGAAGAAGAAAGGGTGTTAAGTGGGCCACTGTTGTATCTGACACCCTTTGTTAAGCTTCCTATTCAGGAGACAAGAACAGTCTTGCCAGAGAAAGAGGACTGTTTGTTGAACAAGCTTCTATTAGTAGTTGTGCCCCATGGTGGAAGGATGTCAAGAAACAGAAGTCATCTGCATTAGAGAACAGCACCCGGGTTTTCCATCTTCCTGTGGCATCAAGTTGCTTCTTTTGTTGGGTAATCTGAAAAGAAATGGGGCTAGCTCACAAGTCAGTGAGGGACAGTGGTGGAAATAAGTGAACAAGAGTGTCGCTCTTTGTCCTTCCTCCTAAATTTTGTACATCTCTGTAGTCACTGGCATAATTAAGGTTTTTCCCTTTGGGTGTATGAAGACTTGGCTCATTGATACTTGGTTGGTAAACTGGGGAGAGACCAGTTATTCAATCCTCTCTCCTGACAGTGAATAATGCAGAGGCTCTTTGGATGGTGCAAAGTCTCATTCAAAATCAGAATTCTCCGAGGAAAACTGAAATGAGCGGAGCAAGCAATTTAGGAGCTACAGGTTTGGTCATTTAGGATGTTTATTGTTCTCTATTTTGCTGAAGTAGTTTCCTCTAATCTGAATGTTACTGATGCTATTGAGAAAAATTCCCTGTCTCTAGCAGCACGGAAATGCATTCAGCTTTCTACAGATACAGTCAAGAGTAATTATGAAGTTTAGAAAAGATACCCTGAATCGCTCCCTGTGCTGATATCTGGGCCTTTACTTTCTTCATGGAGCTGGCTGGTTGATTAATTCTGAAAAAGTCAGCGGTGTGCATACAAATAAAGCCTTGAAATATGGAAATAAGACATAATAGAGAATACATTTGGGTTTCAGCTAATCTTAAAATACTGGTGAATAATTTATTATTCTAAATACTCTGCTTAATGTCTAACCGATGATTGCTATTTACCAGTAATTAGACCCTCCATTTCAGCTCCTTTTCTTACAGACAGGAATAGTATGATCAGTTTTAAATTGGTAGGGAGGAATTAAAGGCTTTTCAATAATGTTTTTAATTTTTAAAAAGACATATTTACTGTAGAAAATAGAGAAAAGTACCAGAATGATGAAAAGTATCCCTAATTTCAACAACTAGAAGTAATCAACATTGTAAAGTATATTATTTCACTCTTTCATAACATTTATATTATGTTTTAAACAGATAAAATGTATATAATATGCATAAAATGTATATAAAAAGATATGTGTGTGTGTGTGTGTGTACATAATCCCAAGATCAATTGGGATCATGATCTGCATACTGTTGTTATGCCTAACAAGATACCTTGAACATTTTTTCATGTCGCTGAGTTTTCCTCTGTAATACTTTTCAAAGGCCACATAATGTTCTGTTGAATCCACGTACCAGTTTATTCAAGAAATCCCTTATTATTAAACATTTCAATTCTTTCTAGAATTGAGACAAAGTCTCACTGTCACCTAGGCTGGAGTGCAGTGGCGTGATCATGGCTCACTGCAGCCTCAACCTCCCTGGCTCAAGTGATGCTCCCACGTCAGCCTCCTGAGTAGCTGGGACTACAAGCATGTGCCACCAAGCTTGACTAATTTTAATTTTTTTTTTTTTTTTCACTGCAGGGGTCTCCCTATGTTGCCTGGCTGGCCTTGAAGTCCTAGGCCCAAGTGATCCACCCATCTCAGCCTCCCAAAAGCTGGGATTATAGGTATGAACCACCATGTTCAGCCAATTTTTATTATCATACATAATTCTGTGAGGAATAACTGCATAACTCTCTAACATTTCTGATTATTTCTTAAGGGTAAATATTCATAGACGAGGATGAACATTGTATTTTGGTATCACTTGTTTCTGCCTGCCCAGAATTTCTCATTTTCACATGATAGAACTGACCTCCTACCTCACTCTCTCATTGCCTTTTAGTATCTGCCTCTCCCACAACTGGTAAAATGTTTCATCACACGGCTGGGACTGATCAGAGTGCCCTGTCTCCTACCACTCCAGGCACAGTGATGGGTCCAGGAGTGCGCATATGATCTGAGTAGGGCCAATAAGAGGGAATTTTTCTAGGTCTGATAATAACTCTTGGATGAAAACATCTCTTTCCTTCTGAAATTACCAAAAACCATTAAAGGTTGGGACTGATGAGGTCCCTCTTGATGCCAACATGGAAGAAAGCAGAGCTGAACAATGAAGTGATAAAGGGGAATTCCTACTGACAACTTTTTTTTTTGGAGACAAAGTCTCACTCTGTCACCCAGGCTGGAGTGCAGTGACGTGTTCATGGTTCACTGCAGCCTCAAACTCGGGTTCAAGTCATTCTCCTGCTTCAGCCTCCCAGTGGCTGTGACTAAGGTGTGCACGACTACCCTGGCTAATTTATTTTTATTTTTGTAGAGATAGGGTTTCACAATTTGGCCCCAGCTCGTCTGGAACTCCTGGCCTCAAGCGATCCTCCTGCCTTAGGTTTCCAAAGTGCTGGGATTACAGGTGTCAGCCACTGCGCCCAGCCTGATGCCATCATTTCAGTTCCTGGTCTCGGCCATGACCGAAGCAAGGTGCTTCCCTAGACTTGTCCAATTATTTGACCTAATAAATTCCCCTGTTTATTTAAACTAATCTGAACTGGCTTTCTGTCTTTGGCAATCAAGGCTCTTGATTAATATAACTATTGTTAAGGTTTTGATATGTATTTCCATATTACCTCCCAGAACTACATTGCCAAATACACTTGTGGAATGTGGAATTTTAAATTAATGTTAATATTGCTGCAATGTGTCAGTGTAGAACTACAGTATGAGTCAATCTATCTCTTTTTTTCATATTTCCATACCCTCTTGACTAAAGCAAAACATCTTAAACAAATCATCACACTCAAGTAAGTAAAGGTGGAGATTGGGATGAATAGAGATCAAGCTAGGTTTATATTATGCCCAGACATCAGGCTGAGTACGAGCCCTTGCTGTCAGGGATGGGGAAATAGGGTCCATGTACCCTGCAGCCAGTTACATAGTGGGTCTCTAATACCTTTACTTTCTTCCCACATGCAGAAGTGAAAGTTAAGAGAAGTCTGACGAAGGAGTCAGTTCCAAGAAAGGAGTTAAATTATTCAAGAGTAAGTTGTCAACTTCAAGTCAGTGAGCCAAGGCAGAGTAGTTCATAAAGAAACTGTGACTAGACTAGGTGGGACTCAGTTTCTGAGACAGATTTCTGAGCCAGGCCTGTGGGCAGCTGTACGAGGAGATGGGTTGGAGAGGGGTGATTTTAAAAGGATGCTAAATAACACTGGCAAAACCAAATCAACTCCACACACCAGTGAGATGAATTGGAAAACAGTGTTCATTACTCCAGTTTTTCTATCAACTTGTGTAGTTGTGGAGATGAAAATTGGTTCCAGTAACACTGAGGTAGACACTATTCTTTTTTCTCTCTCTCTCTTTTTTTTTTTTTTTTTTTTTTTAATGGAGACAGAGTCTCGCTCTGTTGCCCAGGCTGGAATGCAGTGATGAAATCTCTGCAACCTCTGCAACCTCTGCCTCCCAGGTTGAAGCGATTCTCGTGCCTCAGCCTCCTGAGTAGCTGGGACTACAGACACACACCACCACGCCTGGCTAATTTTTGTATTTTTAGTAGAGATGGAGTTTCAGCATGTTGGCCAGTCTGGTCTCAAACTCCTGACCTCAAGTGATTCATCCGCCTCGGCCTCCTAAATTGTTGGCATTAGAGGCGTGAGCCACCACGCCTGGCAGCAGTATTCTTTTAACTAAAATTTGTGGGAGGTTATTGATTTGGACTGGGCCTCTACAGATCAAACCAAAATGGAGTCACTCATGCTAAAGTTTCATGTCACCAAACAGAAACTAAGTCGTCTACCTTCCAAGAAACTAAGGAGGGGTGGGAGAGAAAGAGGGAAAGACAGTGTAGCCAAATCCCCTAACAAGGCCAGTTTTAGCTGACATGATAAAGGAGTCCCCCCTGCTTTAACATGACAAGGAAAGTAACTTTGAAATGACCAATTCACTTTTTGTTCCTTATTTCGGCTTTTTTTTTTTTTAAACCCCTTTTCTGCCTATAAAGCCCACCTCTTCTGCTTAGCTCATCAGATCACCTTTTCTAAATTTTTTATTTTATTTGTTGATTTTGGGTAGAGATGGGGGTCTCTCTATGTTACCCAGGCTGTTCTCAAACTCCTGGGATCAAATGATCCTCCTGCCTTGGCCTCCCAAAGTGTTGGGATTACAGGCATGAGCCATGGTGCCCAGCCACCTTTTCTAAAATTTTATGGGAGATAGTACCCTGATCCATTCATCACAAATAAAAGCCAATTAGATCACCTAACTAAATTTGTTGTAATTTTGTCTTTTGACAGTTCTCAAAAGGAAATGAAAACAACACTTTATTAGCAGCAGTGCATCTAAGATGGATAGTTTTGAGATGCACCTGTGCACTCTTGGTCAGTTGAAACTTCTGAGTCAACAGTAGTTGGCCTAGTACTGTTTCCTGAGAATGAGTGGTTTAACTCACCCTTTCATATACCTCTCAAAATGATTTCTTATTCTTAAAATTACGAATAAACAAAACTGAAGAGAGATGAGCTTCAGAAAAATGGGAACCGATCATTAAACTTTTATTTAGCACATTTCCTGTTCTTCAGCTAGTAGAAGTGGATTATTTTTAAAATATGTTTCTACTTAGACTTTTTATTGATAAAAAATAATACATTTCTCCATATCCTGACCAAATCAATGTTGAATACACATTCGTAGGATACTGCTTGTAGGGGCTGCTTGACTTGGCCCAGGCCTGCTGGGTGGTTGGAAGTGAAGGGTAGGATAAATCAGCAAAGATCTCCCCACCCTCCAGCCCCAGACTGCTTAACTGAAGAGACTTTGGAGACCAGTTGGGTAGCCAGGATTGAAAAAGAACAAACTTGAGGACCAGACAGTTCAGAGTTAGAAATTTTGGAGGCATTGTCCAGAGCCCTGAGAATGAGAGAAGATCTCCAACTATCCACGGTTGTCTGGGCAAGGAAAACATCGTGGAGAGGGAGGTGGGAAACAATAGCTGAGAATCAGGCAAAAATATCTGGAAAATGGGTAATTATCTTATTCACCACTATCTCTCCTTTCCACTGGCCACCCTTCCAGGTATCTTGTGATCTGAATTCCAGCTCTGCTCAGTTCATCCTGGGGAAATTAGAGGAAAAATGGTCTCTGTCCACAAACCCCTTTCCCCTACCTCTGCTGCTTCAGTGACAATAACTGAAAGAAAAAATTGGTGTAACAAAACTTTAAAATTTGTATATTTAGAAAATCTGAAAGAATCAACAAGTAAAATTCCTGGAACTAGTTCAGGATATGGTTAACATCCAAAAGTCAATTGCAGCCAAGTGCAGTGGCTCATGCCTATAATCCTAGCAATTTAGGAGGCTGAGGTGGTAAACTGTTTTAGCCCAGGAGTTCGAGACCAGCCTGGGCAACATGGTGAAACCATGTATCTACAAAAAATAGAAAAGTTAGCCAGGCATTGTAGCATGTGCCTGTAGTCTCAGCTGCTTGGGAGGTTGAGGTGGGAGGATCACTTGAGCCTGGGAGGTCAAGGCTGCAGTGAGCCATGACCACGCCACTGTGCTTCAGCCTGGGTGATAGAGTAAGACCCTGTCTCAAAAAAAGAAAAAAAAAAAAGTCAATTGCTTTCTTATGTACCAGCAATGAACAAATGAAATTTGAAATAAAAACCAGAATACCATTTACATCAGCATTCCCCAAAATGAAATTGGTAGAAATCTAATAATACATGCAGAAGTTCTATATAATGAAGAGTATAAACCTCTGATAAGAGAACTTTAAAAAGATCTAAATGAGTGGAAAGATATTCCATGTTCATGGACAGGAAGACTTACCTGGTCAAGATGTCAGTTCTTCCCAACTTGATCTATAGATTTAATGCATTCTCAATCAAAAGCCCAGCAATATGTTTTGTGAACATGAACAAACCGATTTTAAAGTTTATAGGAAGGGAAAAAGACCCAAAATAGCCAACACAATATTGAAGAAGAAGAACAAAATCAGATAACCAACACTATACCGTAACAAAGACAGTGTGATAGTGGTGAAAAAATAGACAAATAGATCAATGGAACAGAATAGAGAAGCCAGAAATAACTTACATAAATATAATAAACTGATCTTTGACAAAGTAAACAAGGCAATGAAATAGAGAAAAAGATAAACTTTTCAACAAATGGTGCTGGAAAAATGGAATATCCAAATGGAAAACAAAAACTGAATCTAGACAGAGACTTTACACCTTTCACAAAAATTAATTCAGAATGGATCATAGACCTATACGTAAAATGTAAAACTATTAAAGTCTCCTAGATAATAACCCTGGAAAAAAATCTAGATGACCTTGAGTGTGGCAATGACTTTTAAAATACAATACTAAAGTCATGATCCATGAAATAAGAAGTTGGTAAGCTGGACTTCATTAAAATTTAAAACTTCCGCTCTGCAAGAGAATGAGAAGATAAGCCACAGATGGAAGAAAACATTTACAAATGACATATCTGATAAAGGACTGTTATCTTCAAAGAACTCTTAAAACTCAACAATTAAAAAATGAACAACTTGATTAAAAAATGGGCAAAAACCTTAACAGAGACCTCACCAAAGAACATACAGAGATGATAAGTATATGAAAAGATGCTCAATGTAATATCATATGCCATTAGAAAAATGCAAACTACTAAATGCAAAGTGGCTGCACCACTTTGCAAGACAGTGTGGCAGTTTTTTTACAAAATCAAACATACTCTTACCGTATGATCCAGCAGTTACCTTCCTTGGAATTTACCTAAATAAGTTGAAAAGTTATGTCCACACAAAAGCCTGTACATGACTATTTACAGCACCTTTACTCATAAATGCCAAGACTTGGAAACAACAACGATGTTCTTCAGTGCATAAATGGATACATAAACTGTGGGACATCCAAACAATAGAATATTATTCATTGCTAAAAGAAATGAGCTATTAAGGCATTAAAATACATGGAGGAACCTTAAATCCATGTCACTGAGTGAAAAAAAAAGCCAGTTTGAAAGGCTACATACTGTATGGTCCAACTATAGGACATTCTGGAAAAATACAAAACTTTTGGAAACAGTAAAACAATCAGTGTTTGCCAGGGGTTAGCAGGGAGGTAGGGATGACTAGGTAGAACACATAATATTTTCAGGGCAGTGAAACTGTTTTGTATAATATTATAATAGTGGACACATGTCATCATACATTTTTCAAAACCCATTGAGTGAACAGCACCAAGAGTGAAGCTTAGTGTAAACTGTGGACTTTTAGTGATAATGATGTGTCAATGTAGGCTCATCAATTATAACAAAGATGTCATTCTGGTGCTAGATGTTGGTAGTGGGCGAGGCTGTGTGTGGGGAAGTAGGGGATATCTGGGAACTCTCCGTACTTTCCGTTCAATTTTGCTGTGAACCTAAAACTGCTCTAAAAAATGAAGCCTATTAAAAATGTATTAGCTAAAAAAAAAAAAAAAAAAAAAGGTATAAGTGATGAGTCAGTGAAAGGCAGATAAAAGCATTGAGTAGCAAA